TAAGGGGGGAAGATCAACCAAAGGACTTACATGCAGGCATATAGGCCTAACCAATGGACACGGACAACGGGGGGGAGGGCAAGAGCGGGGGGGTGGGTAGAGGGTAACGTGGGGACAAGGACACATATGTAATATCTTAATCAATAAAATATATATTAAAGTGAAAAAAAAAGAATCAACCAATGAATGCATAAATAAGTAGAACCACAAATAATGTTTCTCTCTCTATTCTCTCTCTCTCTCTCTCTCATAATAAATAAACAAAATATAAAGAAGTTGGAAGAAATAAATGAAAAGGTAAATAAACTAACAGAAGATTTAAAAAAACATGAAAACAACTCTTCAATAATGTCAAATTTATCAACCCTGGCAAACCCTTCAGTAATTACAGCACTACTTGAGCTCATCAAAAGTGATTAAACTCCTTTAAGGAACCTGGTGAGAATTTTTCGTAAGTATCTTATAAATGGCTTCTTATGTTTTAATAGCTTAAGACTGTGGAACATTTTGAAAACGTGTAAAATTATAGTTTTATTTAAGAAACGTTTAATAGTACTGACTTAAAAGAATATCACGCAAAAAAAAAAAAGTTGGCAGGACGGAGGTGAGGGATAGGAAATGAGTGAATGAGAGGATGAAAAGAGAGTTTGTGGATATGTGTGGTGTGTGTGTGAGTGAGTGAGGGACAGTTAAATCCCACAGGATCAGCAGAGGCTGGCAGACCAAGCTCTCTGGGACAGGGAGAGACTACCCCACACCTTCTTGAAGGGGAGAGCAAGCAGCCTCTTCTAGGAACTCATCAGCACCACCACCCAGACAGGCCTGGGATACTGCCCGCAACCCAGCAGCCACTCCAGCCAAAAATCTTGCTGCCCACCCACTCACAGACCCTGGGATCTCCACCTCCAAAGGAGCACTGCACCCACAGCAGTAAGTGCAGCTCCCTCTCCCCAGGGGCAGACCTCCAAGGTCTCCAGCATGCAGGTCTCCGAGGCACACCACTCCATAGAATTCTCTTAGGAGTCACTGTGAGCCCCAGCTGGGTGTAGTTTTGTACAGACACAGGCACACTGCCCCCCAGTAGAAATTCTGAATTCCTTCTGCCTGAATAACTGCCCACACACACCCAGCTGCACAACAGAAATTCTTAATTCACCCATTCTAGATACCTGCCCAAAGACACCTCAATTAAGCGTGCCAGGGCCCTTCAGAGTGCTTCAGTGCACCTCCGCTAGAAAACTCACTGCTGGTGCTCCTGTGTGCCACCACCAGGAACGCACGCCTATCCACCACAGGTGCATCAGCAAAAACTGAGTTTCCCCACTCCACAGCTGCAGAACTCTGGACACTACAGTTGCATGCTTTTCCAGAGTGCAGTGTAGGTCTCCCAAGACCACCGCTCCACAGGCAGCCCTGGGGCCCCACTGTGAGCCCCGCTGGACACACACTTAAACAAATAGGGATGCACTGCTTAGCTGTAGAAACACTGAATTCCCTCTTCTGGGATACCTGCCCACAGACACTGCAATTCAGTGGCTTTAGTGTCAGGGCCCTTCAGAGTGTGTCAGTACATCTTGCTGGCAAACACACCACAGGTACCCCTATGAACTGCCACTGGGATCACGTGTATCCAAACATGGAGGCAGCAGCAAAAGCTGAGACTGCCTACCCTGCAACTACAGAACTCTAAACACCACAGTCACGCCTTTCCAGAACGCATGCCTCCTGAGCCCCACCACCCCAACAGACAGTT